TACACATGGCAGTGATGCTGGTCCTGAAACAGGTTGCTGGCAATGTGGGACAGCTCAGACCCCCCATGCCAACCGTTATTTCCAAGTATGCAGCAAGTTACCATATTACCTTCTGTTCCTCGGCCATACGTCAGCATGCGTGTATTTCTGGGTGCCGGTTACTCCAAATTGTTGTTTACCTGTTGGGAATGTTATTCGTCGCGCTGGGTTTATGATAATGGATTTGGTTTTGATGAGTTCCCAAGGTGAAATCGGCAGCTTGGGAAAAATATGTATGTTGGCAAATGTAGCGAGGAACCTCATTATGTTGTTTGTTTGATAATCCTTAGGAGATAACAGATTGACGAAACATTTATTGCCAATCTTTCTGCACAGGGCTTCTGATTAGCGTAAGAATTGTTTATTTTCATGCATATGTTTGACATCATCATTGAAATGACGTCATAAATGTTCGAGATACAATAGATGATCATGCTCGTGGTCATGCTCGTTGACTTGGTTGATGCATGTCATAGTATCCCAATTGCGTAGATCTATGCTCATGATGTCAATCACTTGTTTTATTCCAGACTCGACCATTTACAGACCGCCGTCATATAGCTGTAATACTACTGAGTGCGGCTTTAAAGAACAAACACACATACGAACAAATCTATCCTTCCGCAGGTGATGCTTTGACAGTTGCGTGCCATGTAACTCCACTCTCTATTACAGTTATATCACAGTGTGTTAGCTTAATTTGGATTGAATAATCGAAGCGATGAAGGTCTCAGACTTGTATATCAGTTTACAAGCATAGGTGTGGTGATTAAAGATGATAACAGCGGCGAATCTGAAACTTGAACAAGCAGATCGTGGCCTAATTGAAGAACGCCGTTCTGTATATGGAATTGCAGCGCCTCAGACCCCCAGGTCCCCGTGCCCCCTGATGTCACCTGTACGCCACGAGACACCAGTCGGCACGGGGTTTTAAGAAATGTGACATCTTGTCGTACACGCTATTACCTTGCCGTGTCCTGATCCTGAACGATTGGACGATGTTACATTTATGCTCTATGTTCTTGTGCTGACCGTGCTACATCTAGGCTTCGTCTATGCTATGTCTACGCTATGTCCATGCTATGTCTACGCTATGTCCATGCTATGTCTACGCTATGTCCATGCTATGTCTACGCTATGTCCATGCTATGTCTACGCTATGTCCATGCTAAATTTATGTAATGCTTCTGGTATGTCTACGCTATGTCCATGCTATGTCTACGCTATGTCCATGCTATGTCTCCTCTATGTCCATGCTATGTCTACGCTATGTCCATGCTTTGTCTACGCTATGTCTATGCTATGTCTACGCTATGTCTACGCTATGTCCATGCTATGTCCATGCTATGTCCATATTATGTCCATGCTATGTCTACGCTATGTCTATGCTATGTCCATGCTATGTTTACGCTATGTCTACGCTATGTCCATGCTATGTTTACGCTATGTCTACGCTAAGTTTATGTAATGCTTCTGGTATGTCTACGCTATGTCCATGCTATGTCTACGCTATGTCCATGCTATGTCTACGCTATGTCTACGTTACGTCCATGCTATGTCCATGCTATGTCTACGTTATGTCTATGCTATGTCTTCGCTATGTCCATGCTATGTTTACGCTATGTCTACTCTATGTCCATGCTATGTTTACGTTATGTCTATGCTATGTTTACGCTATGTCTACTCTATGTCCATGCTATGTTTACGTTATGTCTATGCTATGTCGACGCTATGTCCATGCTATGTCTACGCTATGTCCATGCTATGTCTACGCTATGTCCATGCTATGTCTACGCTATGTCCATGCTAAATGTATGTAATGCTTCTGGTATGTCTACGCTATGTCCATGCTATGTCTACGCTATGTCCATGCTATGTTTACGTTATGTCTATGCTATGTCGACGCTATGTCTATGCTATGTCTACGCTATGTCCATGCTATGTCTACGCTATGTCCATGCTATGTCTACGCTATGTCCATGCTAAATGTATGTAATGCTTCTGGTATGTCTACGCTATGTCCATGCTATGTCTCCTCTATGTCCATGCTATGTCTACGCTATGTCCATGCTATGTCTACGCTATGTCTATGCTATGTCTACGCTATGTCCATGCTATGTCCATGCTATGTCCATGCTATGTCCATGCTATGTCCATGCTATGTCTACGCTATGTCTATGCTATGTCCATGCTATGTTTACGCTATGTCTACGCTATGTCCATGCTATGTTTACGCTATGTCTACGCTAAGTTTATGTAATGCTTCTGGTATGTCTACGCTATGTCCATGCTATGTCTACGCTATGTCCATGCTATGTCTACGCTATGTCTACGTTACGTCCATGCTATGTCCATGCTATGTCTACGTTATGTCTATGCTATGTCTTCGCTATGTCCATGCTATGTTTACGCTATGTCTACTCTATGTCCATGCTATGTCTATGCTATGTCCATGCTATGTTTACGTTATGTCTATGCTATGTTTACGCTATGTCTACTCTATGTCCATGCTATGTTTACGTTATGTCTATGCTATGTTTACGCTATGTCCATGCTATGTTTACGCTATGTCAATGCTATGTCTACGCTATGACTATGCTATGTCGACGCTATGTCCATGCTATGTTTACGCTATGTCCATGCTATGTTTACGCTATGTCTACTCTATGTCCATGCTATGTTTACGCTATGTCTATGCTATGTCTACGCTATGTCCATGCTATGTTTACGCTATGTCTATGCTATGTCTACGCTATGTCTACGCTATGTCTACGCTATGTCCATGCTATGTTTACGCTATGTCCATGCTATGTTTACGCTATGTCTATGCTATGTCTACGCTATGTCTATGCTATGTCTACGTTATGTCCATGCTATGTCCATGCTATGTCCATGCTATGTTTACGCTATGTCTATGCTATGTCTACGCTATGTCCATGCTATGTCTACGTTATGTCCATGCTATGTTTATGTAATGCCTCTGGTATGTCTACGCTGTCTATGCTGGCATGCTACGTCGATGATATGACTTGTCGACATCTATGCGTTGTCTATGCTTTGTCTACGCTCTGTCTCTGCAATGTCTCTGCCTACATTATGTCTACCTTATGTCTATGTTACGTCTGTACTATGTCTATGCTACATCTATTTTACGTCTTTGCTTCTTTTATGCTATGCCTATGCTATGTCTATGCTATGCCTATGCTATGACTAAGCTATGTCTATGCCATATCTACGTAATGTCTATGCTATGCCTATGCCATGTCTATGCTACGTCTATCTACCTCTATGCTACGTCTACGCTATGTCTATGTCACGTCTTTGCGAAGACTATGCTGCGACTATGCTTAGTCTATGCTCCGTCTATGCTATTTCTATGTCACGCTGATGCGTATGAATTGGACTTACTACAGTTACAGCGCTAAGAACGCTTTGTGAAATTTCCGACTTCTACCTGAAACAAACCACAACATAAAGCCGGCCAGGGAACGGATGACAGGCTTTGTGAACATAGTTCGATGACGCAGATGTCTGCAGCCGTGTCAAAGTCACAGCATATTTCACTTCACTCGTATATCATTGAACGCTCGTATATCCTGCAGGATGAAATGCATATTATGGACTCAAGGATTGGATAATATGCATGTAACATATGGCAAGCTTGATTACATTCTGCACCTAGTCATGCATACAAACGTGTTCATTTCACCGGAATATATATGTAACATTACATATCAAAATATAATATTGATTCTGACATTATTAAAATATCATTTTATTTGTACATTTATATCCACTGTTTGAACAAAGATGTCAATGTATGTAACGAACTATTTTAAATGCATTATACCGACGGATATTATTTGAATCAGGGATATTAATGCGGGCCATAAAATGTTTTATTGCATGTCTGTGAAATATACTTTTATATAACAAAATGTTGATTGACATATATTGCGCATTCGAACGAGAAGCATGTGGCAGTCTATTAAATGTTCTGTCTTCCGCCATACGGGTTTATTGTAGCCGAGTCAGGTGACCATTTGTTACTCGAAGGTAATACCGTATACACCCTATGCCCCTATCTCGTATACATCTATGAGTCTTTATGTATTCAGCAGCTGTGTTTCTCGTATGTATAAATGATTCAAACGGTGGCCATTAGTTAGCAAATAATCAAACACGATAAAGTTAATCAGTCATGAATATCCCTAGTGTCGAAAGAAACGAATTAAGCCATTCTGCAATTCACAACCCTTATCTGAAGCTTCCTGAAATGGATCGGGTGATGTGAGTCGGTAAAGCTACTATGTCCATCGAAGTCCCTATGTTGGTCCATAAAACCTGCCAATGTAGCGTCTCTATAAATCAATCGATAGAGTAATAAAAACTATTGCACGCGGGGAAACGAGTCACTCATTTCTCTTCAGTATGAACTCAATTTCAGCTCACAGCACAGCCGCTGATAATACTCGTCAATATTGCTTCGGAGGTTCCACCCTAATCAATGATATGCATTGTGTATTAAGTTTAAGGAGTTTTCATCTGTGTATTACGGCGTCTATAGCCCGTGATGATAGCCTTGCATCATTAAGACGGTAATGGCAGGGTGACGGACTAGTGGTTTACGTGAGTCCAGCTGTATGAGTAGATAATGCCAATGTTTTCTTGCTTAACGTCAGGTTGTCAATATTACCTTGCCGATCGCCTGTACCACTGAGTGCTGACGTCGGCAAATATTGCATGCGGGGCTTTCCAAAGTGTCCTTTTGTTATGTGAAACTTGAGATCCATCATTTCTGTCATTGCGTGGTGGAATTATTGGTATTCTTTAAGCGAAACATTGTTAAATCAAATAATTTGGAGGATTCGAACATCAATCGAATTATCTGTAGTTCGAAATATTGAAAAAAAAATATCGGTTTAAATGATTTATCGAGTTAAAGGAGATGCCTAAGTTTCATTATAGTTCGAGACAAACGTAGTGTTGATATAGGACCATTGCATTGATAATGACTTCAGAAAGAATATCGCCTTAACGACATATCGAATATAACGGAGGGCACGGATGGCCTAGTTGACTAAGGCGCCGCAATTGACTGTACAGAGTTGTGTCCCTTGGGAACGCCAGGAATCTATGATCTTTGGTTCGAATCTCGGTTCGCGCTGATTATGTTCCTAGGTTTGTCAGCATCACACCCGTGCTCGTGGGTTTCACCAAAGTGGTAAACGTCTAAGACCTGCATCACTTCGGGCTTTCCTCCCAAATCAAGCTGACACGCGGTGATTTAACTGGAATACTGTTCAAAGGGGGATTAAACCCAACCATTGCATTGATAATCACCTCAGAAAGTATATCGCCTTAACGACATATCGAATATAACGGAGGGCACGGATGGCCTAGTTGACTAAGGCGCCGCACTTCGCTGTACAGAGTTGTGTCCCTTGGGTACACCAGAAACCTTTGATTGTGGGTTCGAATCCCGGTTCGCCACGATTATGGTTCTAGGTTTGTCAGCACCATACCCGTGCTCGTGGGTTTCACCAAAGTGGTAAACGTCTCCCACATTCAGCTGACACACCGTGATATAACTGTAATACTGCTAAAAGCGGCGTTAAACCCATCTCACTCACTCACTCTAATGGGGGCATCTTACTCTAATTATTCAGTTCTGCGGGTGGTCAAGCAGACCATATCCCTCCTCATGGGTTTCACCAAAGCGGTATAAGACCTGTCTCAAGCGTGCCTTGTCACTTTCCTCACACATCAATTGACACACGCGCCATGACTGAAATACTATTCAAAGCGGCGTTATACCTACCTCACTCACTGACTCACCCATGTTGGATTTAGTAGGTCTGGTTCAGAATTGTCGATAGAGAAGTCGTTATTTTCTAATGGGGGTGTCCTGCGTCTTGCCTGATCATTAAGCTAGGCATCTTGTATAGGATACTTTTATATGCATGTGCCGGCAATGAGAATCAATATTGAACATTGGTGTAGTGGTAGCAGATGCATTAGCAAGTGAGCTTAATTATGGGAGCATTTGTGGTAGTTGTAGTCGCTGATATAGTGGTTGTAGTCACTGTTGTGGTAGTTGTAGTCGCTGACGTTGTGGTTGTAATCGATTTTGTGGAAGTTGTAGTCGCTGTTGTGGTAGCTATAGTCGCTGATGTAGTGGTTGTAGTCACTGTTGTGGTAGTTGTCGCTGTATTAGTTGTAGTCGCTGTTGTGGTAGCTGTAGTCGCTGATGTAGTGGTTGTAGTCACTGTTGTGGTAGTTGTTGCTGTATTAGTTGTAGTCGCTGTTTTGGTAGCTGTAGTCGCACAACACAACACAACACAACACACAACACAACACAACACACACACAACACAACACAACACAACACAACACACACAACACAACACACACACAACACAACACAACACAACACACAACACAACACAACACAACACAACACAACACACCAACACAACACACCACACACACAACACAACACAACACACCACACACACAACACAACACAACACACACACACACAACACAACACAACACAACACAACACAACACACAACACAACACAACACAACACACACGCAACACACACAACCAAGAAGATATGAAAAGAACGCATGGGGATGACAAGCCTTCATATTCAACTGTTAAGAAATGGGCCTCTGAATTTAAGCAAGGTAGAAGAAGCACATATACAGAAGATGTCTGGTCGTCCTGTTGATGCCACGTCTGAAACTCAAGAGGAGCTGTCTTCGGCAGGGTTATGGCTGACAAGATGTGTCATCAAGATGGGTACCTAGTATGTTGACACCAGATCAGAAACTGAACCGAGTGAAACCTATGATTGTGGGTATATTGTAATCCTGGAGGAGACCTGGAGTCATCACTTTGATCCAGAAACAAACCTATTGGTGAAACGTTTTGATATCACTCCTTGTGCTGCTGCCTCAGGGCAATGACGCAAGTGGCAGTGGCTACACCTGCAGATTGTGGCTTTGAATTACTTCCCCTTGATCCTTTACTCTCCTGACCAAGCACCCTCTGATATTAATCTCTTCCCTAAACACAAATCACACGTGCGTAGTTTTTTTTTTTTTAACCAACAACGACGAAGCAAATGCCGCCATCGAGGCCGTTTGTGTGAACTAAGTTGTAGGGCAGTGGTGACAACGCTGGACGAAGTGTACGGAAGTAAAAAAAGAGATTGACAAATAACTGCGCGATGGATGGATGGATGGATGGATGAATGCATGGATGGATGATGAATGGATGGATGTAGGCATGCATGTCATTTCTTTGACAAACTGATATTCAAGCTGAGACACAAAAATACTACTCAAAAGAAGTTAAAGATCACCCGATATCTGCATATGACTATGGTAAATCTGTCAAGCCATCAGGTGTTCTTTAATTTCTTTTGAATGCGCCTGACGGTAATCCATTATGCAATATACAGTAACAAACAGCCTAGCCGTCCGTACGTCGCCCAGACCTACAACAGTGGCTTCGATGGCTGCAAAACTAACACGTAAGTGTTTCACGAAACAAGATAACAACTGATGGCTTTATATATTAACCAAACATAGCTGACCTTTATAAATATTTCACAAGCATAGCAATGACATTTCATCTTTGACAGCTACTTATAGCCAGTAAAAAATCTTGACAGGAACGGGAAGTCTTATACGGAATCTAATTCTACGAACAAGAGGACGCCTGTTTGATGTCCATTTATCCCCGGAGAAGGAGAAGCTTCGAATCACTGCACGTCACGTGTACATGTCCATCACGAATAATAGATACCGATGTTAGAAGACAAGTGTAGGCCTTTCTAAGCGTGTCAAAGAACAAGGCCCTATACTCCACTGGGGACATTTACAGAAAACAGGTCTTTCATTCTATTGGGAAGGCGCCAATTTATTCTTACTGGGATACTATAACTTCAAGGGGAATCGCTTCAAAGGAACTACTGAGCTGAAAAGTCACTTCACTGTTGATGAAGATGATGATAAGTCGAAATTGTGGTTGTTTTTCTTCTGCTGTTACATCGTCTGCTCAGGGATCGGAAGGTGGGTGGTTGGATCCCTGGCTGGGTCATACCAAACGATATTAAAAGATGGTGCTTGTTGTTACGCTGCCTTGCTCTGGGCATTAAGGAAATATGACAAGGACTGGTCGGCTCATAGTTCTGAGTGGGTCATCATCATCGTCGTCGTCGGCGTCGTCATCGTTGCTATTGTTGTTGTTGAATTGTGAAGGGCACACTGTTGACTGTCAATCTCATTGTGACATGGTATATGTGTCGTTTGCCTCCATTCTGACAGGACGTGAATCACTACCTCGGGCTATTTTGGTGCACCCGTAATCTCTCACTCAGCCTTTTAGGGATATTGAAAAGTTGAATAATGGCTATTGAATGCAAAGATTCGAAGTGCCCCTTCAGATAAGAACGGATTTCACATTGGCTCATTGTGCTTGATACTGTGGCTTTGGGAGATTGCAGTGTATGATAGATTCAGGACTCGCATCACCGGCGAATAACTCAATGAGCATTTAAACAGTAGCTCCTTATTTAGAGTTGTGTCTGTAAGCAGCTGATGCCACCCGTTGGGCGACCCTGGGCCCGTGGGGATTCCAGGGCCGACAAATGGAGATTAGATGGTCACGATGTGTGACCTGGCTCGATTACATATTGGCCGACCCGTGAAGATCCGGGTTAGAAAAGGTCTTCAGCAACCCGTGCATGCCGTAAGAGGCGACTATGATTGTAGAAAGAGGCGACTAACGGGAGCGGATGGTCAGGCTCGCTGACTCGGTTGATGCATGTTATCGTATCCCAAATGAGGGGGTAACGTTAGTCTTAGAAACCACACGTACTTTAATTTAAAAATGTGTCTGAATTTTTCAGCTATTTCACAAATTTCTCTTTTCCATAATTAATAAACACACACACACACACACACACACACACACACACACACACACACACACACACACACACACACACACACACACACACACACACACACACACAAACAAACACTTTAAGGTCTAGTAAATCATCATGATTGAGTGAATGAGTGAGTTGGGTTTAAGGCCACTTTAATAGGTAGGGCACTCATTTCAACTTAATGTGGGAGATCAATTTAATTAGCTCTTATTGATGCAGTGCTGACACGTTCACCATGTTGATGACACCCATAGGCCATGATCTTGACATTCAAACCCAGGCTCAACGGATACTGACACAACTAAGGGAAGTAACTCTGAATACCCGAAACCAATGGGTTCCCGATATACTAGTATACAGTACAGTGGGCCAATTAATTACGATGATAAACGTTGTTTTCCCCCTGTGCTTGGGGACAAGAGGTCAA